CGAGTAATTGGATTTCTATACATTTCATTATCTCTAGAACAGATACGTATATTAAATTTGACACGTGCTGAAAGTTTGTTCTTTTTGTGGAGTGAATTGCTTTCTCATCCCTTCGTTAAGGTAATAAAATTTGAGAATATTTCATGTGATTTTTTGCGTTTTCAGGAAGCTCATAAGCTTTCACGCGAAGCAAATTACCTCTGGCTGTAAATATTTCATCAGCACAAGACTAGATTTTGCTAATTGAAGATCCAATCATATTAAATGTCTTACCTATGTAATATAAAGTGTTTACGAAAGTTATATAAACTGCACTCTGTGCTTTAGGAATGTACTTTTTTTTCATAATTACATTTACTTTTGACAGGTTAAACGAGTAACACTAAATTTATTAGAAAATTAAGGCAAACATTTTAAATGATGTGAAAAATCAGCGTATTTTTTATTAAGTTTCATCTATAAGCTTTCACTTTGTGCTTTTTTAGAAATCTAATATACTAATCTTTTAAAATCCCAGGCCTGGTTGGGACTTTGAACTCAAGATCTTCTTCAGTATGTTATCAGGTATTTTGCTATGATGACTTATGGAAGCTACCAACAACCTGCTCAAGATATTTTCTAATTAACTTATGATACCTACTATTAGATTTGAGCGTGTTTGGGTTCGTAATTTTACAGCTAGCTCTGTTGATTCTAAGCATCAAGTGCCAATAAAGTTCCTTATATGAGTTACCGCCATGGAAGCGAAGCCTCAAGGCTCATGCAGACAAGGACAGACTAAAATTCAACTGAAATTTTTAATAAGTCTCTGTTTTGGAATTAACATAAAAGATACAACTGCTTACTTAGATTAGTTTCATGACAAAAAATGACAACTCAGTTTTTCTGTAGCAGAATCCACAATTCTATCCAAGGCACTGAGCTTTCAACCATAGCTTACCGTTTCGTACGGAACTTCTCAGGAAACAGCTACATCGGCCAGGATTTAACAATGGTATTCAGTATTTGCATGCGGCTCCATCCTCTAGCGGGCCCAGCACTGGCCATGCGGTAAAGTCGCTAAACACTGGTAGTTTGGTCCGAGATTCGAATCCTACGAACGGGCTGGCTGCATAGGCGTTTTTGTGGTTTTTCTCTATATGTAACGTGTATACGAGCCAGTTCCCTTAGAAAGTCCTCCACAAAGGTAGCCTTCTTCTTAGGCAGATAGCCCGCGACTGCTTTGGAATAATCAATCGAAACCAAGTCAGTAGGCTCTCTGTCGCTCCTAGGCGCAGATTTGAACTGATGCTTTTCAGACAACGGGCAACAGACATTTACTACGGTTCCGATTAACCTTTGTATACTCCTAGGCTCGTCTCAAAAATCTATATAATCATCTGGAGAAAACGAGTTGCGTGACTACGTAACAAGTGATAGTAAAGATGAATATTAAAAGCCAACTTGGTTGGCTAAAATAAACTAAATTCTCACAAACAGACGTTTAATATTTAAGTGGAATCTTTTGAAACTTTCGAGTTGGTTGACTCACTCGCGATGGCAACGCATACATGGTATACCTGTCTTAGAAGGGATTGACTTTTATGGGACTAACTAAGTATTCACACGTTATACATGACAAAAAAATACAAAAATTCTCTGCAGCCCGTCTGTTCACAGGGAACCGAAACCAGGACGAACTACAAGCGTTTAGCGGTGTTATGAACTTGTCTACTGGTGGGCCTTCACCTGAACGTGATTTTGCCTTATCTGATTGAAAGGTTTGCCCTTCATAACCTTTGTAAGGAATTTTCTACTTCCTTACCGCATGCCACTGTGATATAAACGGAAGCATGTCCAGCTAGCAATCTGAAAATCCGAAGTTCAAATCCCAAGTAGTGCAATGCTGATTTTTCACATTTCTGATAGAGGAAAGAATTAATGACTCTATAAGTGCTCCCGAGCTAAAATACAGGGGACAATGATTGGTCACCTCCTGGATTTGGTAGCTGAATCCCCTCCTTCCTAGTCGCTTTTTAAGTGGGGAAAGGTATTATGAATTTTCTCCTTCCATACGCCTGCACTTCTTGTTGCAAATTGAAGCACGTCTCACGGAATTCTAATCCCAGCAATGGCATAGCTGACTTCCTGTTTCTTGCTACAATAAGTCTCCACAAGTGAAGCCGATGTAGTCGACGATAATACGTCACTATCTGGATTTGATAACGCGGTCTCTTCCTTTCCAGCTATCCTTTAAGTGGGAAAGAATGTAAGGAATAGCATCCTTCCTTATCGCGTACATTCGTGGTGTAATTGCAAGCACGTCCGGCTAGCAGTCAGGACGTCCAGAATTCGAGTCCCAGCAAGGGCACTGATTTTTCATGTTTCCTGCTCCAAAAATAACAGTAATGTTTATACGCGGAGCCCAAACCAAAATGTGATGAACGATAGTTTGTCACCACCTGGATTTGGTGATTGGGTCTCTTCCTCCCCACTCGCCCTTTAATAATAATAAGTGGGAAAGAATGTAAGGAATTTTCTTCTTCCTATGTACCTTCGAGGGGTAATTGGAAGCTCGTCTAACCAGCAGTCGAGAGGCTCATAGCACGAATCTGTGAGGTAGTATAGCTGATTTTTCCTGTTTTCTGCTTTGAAACACCTAACGACTTTGTCATCTAACCTATTAACCTAATTTTGTCAGGGAAAATGTTATTATTTATCAATTCAAAACGCCTTGTTGAAAGTTATTCAGGGACTTTTTTTGGTTTCTTTTTTTGTTAGGTGTTTGAAAGTCTTAAATGAGATAAGAATTAAGATCAGTTGTAAAGCATTAGATTATCAAGTGGATATTACAAATTAAATGCATTTAAAATTATATTGATTAGATTTGCTCTTTTGCTATAGGATAGACCATGTGGAAGAAAAATTAAAAATTTTATATATTTGATGCAATAGCAACATTTTCTAATTCGTGTGAACGACAAAGGGCGTGGTAGCTTAATGTAATGTAACATAATATAACGATTAAGAAACGTAGAAAACAGCATTACATGCATTTTTAATGTCGATATTATCTAAAACCAAGAAGAATTAATTACGCTATTAAATCTAAGCAAAAATTTAAAATACACCCTGCATTTCAGAATAGTACATTTCGAGTTTATTTGGTACTATTCTTATATCTTCTTTTTGCTTATGTTGTAAGAGAAGGTTTCTGACGATATTTTACATCAGTAATGCATGTCATGTTCATTTTCAGTGCTCTGTCTATTTTGTACGGCATTAGCTTCGTACTTTATAACAGACAGGAATCAAGTATACGATTTTTTTTTGATAAGTTTGTCTTTGGAATAATCCTTACTTAGAAAGGCCGGTTTTAAGAATTTATTAAGAAACATCGTAATGATGGAAAAGTGTAACAGGCTTTCATTTGAAGCCGTATATAGAATTCTGAATTTTAATCTTTTCCAGGGTTAGAAACTGGAGGCCGATACAATGATTGAAAAGCATACTGGAAAAGGCACTCGTTGGCAGGTGCAATATGTTTTGTTTGTTGCGAAGAAGTACATATTGAAGAGAAGCAACAAAAACTTGATTTTCTGGTAGAAAAAAAGCCTTATTTTCCCAGAAAAGCTGAGCGAATGTAAGTGTAGTGTCTTCTGTCAGCTTTTCTTAAGCACTTCAACGTAGAGAAATTTGGGAGAATACACTTAGAAAACTTGCCGTTTTATAAATTAAAAATCTCTGCTTTTAACGAACTTTAATGTACTTTTACATACATTAATGATCAGTATCTATAGTATCATAGTTTAACCAAATGCAACTTAAATACTAGTTAGTTTCTTTTAGAAAGTTCTCCTTAGACGTTTCTCTATCTGGTAACCCTCGCTCTTTATGTTATAAATTATTAACAAATTAACGATATCAACCATCCTTTTTTCTTCGAGTACAATATTCAATAAATTACATTGTACATTCAACACTTCATAAAATAAGCTGTATATTCAATAATTTCCTTCCGCCGTAGGCTAATATAAGTATTTTGAGCGAATTTAAGGTAGGCTAGGCTAAGCTATAACGTTCGTTAATCTAAACGTACGAGCTTGATTTTTGAATTTATTATATTTTCAAGTTACGATGGGGGTTTATAGAGACATAGTTGAGTCGTAAACGGAAGATCGAAACCTCTGTATTGAGACAATTTTAGAGTTCTTAACATTCACGAACAACTGATTTAACCTATTATACTGGTATATTATTTATTGCCCAAATTTATTTCAGATACAATTTTTCAAACTTAAGAATATAAATCAGTATTTATTTACATGATTTTACTAGAGAATCACAACTAATTTATCTTAAATGGAAATAAATTATGCAGTCCATGCAGAAAAAAAAAGTTATGAAGAAAATACTTTAAAGTTACTCGTTAAAGAAATTGAACACATCGTAGTGTGTTAATTCATTAGAGAAGCTGAAACACTTTGTAGTACCGCTACTGATTCTTTAACAAATTCAAATTTGCCTGATATTTACTCAAGCTTTGTTATTAATGTATTGTATTAAATAAATCCATTATGCAGAATAAAGTAAAATAGAAACTAAATTTTTTACTGAAAATTTGGTTGACTCTTTTGACACGAGTTAAGATGTAGATAAAAAATTTTAATATTTAATGGAAAACATTTGATTCATTGAAAAGTGAAATTTATATTAAGTAAATTACTGTGATAAGCCGGAGTTAAAAGACAGGCATACAAAATAGACTTCGAAATATTTTTTTCCACATACTTTTCCAAATGTAATACATATTTAAAAATTTTACCAATTTTTGTGAAGTTAAAACAACATAAGCACCAAACACTACATTTTGTTTCAGATTAATTTATTTATGAGATCGTAAATACTAGCATCCCACGTGAATCGCAAATATTAGCATCAAGAGTCTAGCATCCCACATGAAAAATATTTTAAAGTTAAAAGCATTGCTTATTTTCTTATTTATATACTACTGTGAATACCTGGAAAAAGCTTATATACGAATTAATAATAGATGGAGAAAATCAGATGGTCATATTCAGCTTTTAGAATGAAGATGTTCAATAAGGATTCAATTCTTCAGCTTGCAAAATTCAGGGTCGCGTCTGAAGAAATGCCGGATCCTAAAAATATAAAAAGGCAAGGTTTAGTTAAGATAAATTTGCTGGGCATATTTTCTATATAAGATAGGAAAATAATGTGGATATATCGCAAATAGGTAATAAAGAAATGAAGTCATTATACTGTAACGTAAGAACAATGATAAGGTAATAAGAACTTTGCAGAATGGCAATAAGCTGCGAAAGAATAGAAATAGTTTTCATCTTCGGAGATACAAGCATTATAACTATACTGCGTATTCAAAAGTTAAGGAGAATTTTCACATTTGGTCGATAGGAAAGTCTAAAAAAGAGGTGGCAAGGCCCTTATATTAGGTTAATTGATTAAAGCAAAGCAACTCGAAGGCTACCTGTTTACGCGGACGGATGCCTTTGCTGATGACATTTAAAGGGAAACTGGTTCGTATTTCCGTACACAAGGTGGTTTCGTGGGTTTTCACACAAGGATAAAACTACGAAACTTCCCATGCAGAGGAACCGTTCTCTATATTAACCGTATGTGGACAAGCGCTGTCGCCTGCAAAATTGAACTGAGGCCCAACTGCAACCTGAAAAGAAGAATTATGACTTAGACTGTTTGAAAGAAGAATTGCTGTTTAGCAACCCGTTAAGTTCTGTACTCCAGAGAAGCCGTTTAATGCGGAGCAGGGAGCATTGACTTTCGGACAAGCAACAGTGGGAGACCATTCTTTTCAGAGATGAGTCTTGATTCAGCCTAACCACTGATTCTCGAAGTACCTTCATCTGGAGAGAGTCACGAATCCACTACGTGCCCCTTAACATTCTAGAAAGAGATCAGTATAGCATCAAATGTTTGATAGTCTGGGCAACATAATGTTGGACAGCCCTTCATTTATCTGAAAAACTCTCTATTATATATATGAAGGGCTCTGTTATACAAATACTGCAAAGTGCAGCGAAGAAATCTCGGAGCTCTATGTTCCTCTTTTCAAGAGAAAATTTGAACTTAGTTCATTTTTATGAGTGATAATGTTCGTCCACATAGGGCTAATATGATTGATGGCTTCCTAGAAAGTGAGGATATTACCCGAATAAACTGGTCATGCAGATCTTTGGACCTAAATTCTTAAGAATATTTAGGTAAAAATGGAATAAATTAGGTAAAATAGCCTTCTTTGTTCTTAATAATATGTTTGTAGCGATCTTGGGAGAGCAACTGTAACTCGTCTGCCTTCTCCCCAAATCCTTCCTGACTTAAAAGCAGTTTTGCTGCAGCAGTGGGACAGACTGCCACATGGATTTATAAACTCTGTCATTTCCAGCATAAAGCAGTGTTGCGAGAGCTGTATGACTGTTAGAGAGAACCATATCTCCTATTAGCCAATTTTTCTTTTCGATCGTGCAAGCTGTGTTTTAGACTTTCCCTCGTCGATGAGTCTTACGCATCGCTGAGTCTTACGATCGATGAGTCTTACGATCAAGCATGTGCCCTATGACTGTTGTTTAGTATATGCTTTTGTATTACATGAATATACACAATTTCTGTACCAAATTTTATTAAAATCAATCAATTATTTCAGAAGATAATTGCCCAAATGTGAAAATTCTCTTAATTTTTATCACCAGTGCATAACGCTGCAGAGAAAACAAGAAAACTAGTACCGAATTTATCTGGTTGTTTTACGATTAATTAAGGATACTAAAAAAAATTGTTATATTTTGATGTGAGCTTAAGACACAAGCATTAACTGGAAGCAAGTGTTTTGTTTTAGAGCAACACACATAACGACTTAAAAATATCTCTGTTATTACAGAATATTTTGATCACTTGTAGTTTGTATTACTAGCGATGTAACACGAATGTCGGCTGTAGAGTAACTTTCCATTGAAAAGGTGTGGGAAAAGGTCACAATAAAGACAAAAATGTTTCAAGGCCACATAGACGTTTCTCCTAAAAATTAGTTATATAGCTGGAAAAATACCATATTTGTGGTACGATTACTTCAGGAAAATGATACGCCTTTTCGGTTTTGTAATACTGCTTTTGTGCTATTTCTCTGTATTGTTTCAATATGTAGATGAAAGTGGACTTTAATCTGATTCTTAAAGCTGGTCGAAGATAAGACTGGATATGAAAGAGAAAATGCGGGTTTTATGCAATGAATTTAAAATTTTCATTAATTTTTGTTTAAGATATTTTTTATTACATTAAATTCATTCATTAACATTTTTATATTAATTTAGGTTGTGTTTTTTTCTTTTTTTATTGATGACTTCGTAATTCACCAGCCGAATAACTGGATTCTCCTTAAATACTGTTTTTACTTTACTTACATAAAACGCGATCCTGAAAACTGATTCTGGTAGGAAATTGTAGGTGAGAAACGAGAGAATAAAGGAAAGCTGTTCAAAATTAAAAATATCTGTTAGGAAATTAAAATAGCAACTACAATGTAAATCATGCACCAATGAAAATATGTATATTATTTTATATGAAATATCTTTTTTGTCACCTTTCTATTAAATATATTTAACGAACTTTCACCAAAGTCTACATCAGAAAAGTTAATCAAATTCCCTTATTGAACAAGATTCCGAAATCTCCTTACTGGATTCATTATGTTATAGTCCAGAGAAGCGGTATCGATGCAATAAGTAATTAACAATTTAAAATTTGGCGATGTCTCGCCAATTTAGTGACATAGTCATTTACCTCAATTTTAAAGACTTCCGCCTGTAAACTTATTTTCCCGGATAAGCTTTAATTTTTCGGGCATTTTATGTTACATTGTAGAAAAGATACTACAGTTTCAAGTATGATTACACCAAAATTATTTACACATATACAAATTTCCTAACAATAAGTATCTTACTCTCTATGTATGTTGACAAGTCATTACGTGACTACATTTCTTAGTTTTGGTGTTGTCTTGGTTATGAAATCTATAATAGCTCCGTTTTTAGATTATGACGTGCTGCAATAACGATTGCGAGAAGTATTACTGTCAGTCTATCGCTCGGTGCATTTTTCTTTCAATTTTACTACTTGCTTTTATTACAATTTGCGGCTCCATCGGCGAAATCGAAATTACTTTTATGAGTATGCACAAACTTAAAAATTCAATCAATAATTAGCTGATTTTCTAATGGTCACTTTCTAATGCTTGTTGCCAAGAATTTACTACCAAATTTGCAGTAGGTATAGAAGATAAAAAGAAGCATATGTAGCTTGTTTCTTGCGAAATAGAAGTTGCTCTTTTAGTGATTAATGGTTTTATATTCGATGAAGTAACCGTACTGATTTGTCAACTTTGGTGGTCTGTCCAATGAAAATATTAATTACTAATATCTCAGCGCTTCTTGTACGTAAAGGTAGAAGTTTTTTTAAAAAATTTAGTTTACTAAAACCCAACGAACATTTTACTAACTGGATTTATTGCTCTTCGGGGACCATAATGTACGTACTCAAAATAATGCTTAAAAAAATAAATCATTCAGCCACCTTTTTCGGATACCCTGTGCAAACAATCAGGTTTAATATTTGTTAATTAAAACAGGTATACAAATACTACTAATATAGGTATAAGTTAATAGAAAAACATTTATATTAAAAACATTATACATATTTTATCAATAGAATCTCTCCATAGATTTTGCCAAAGTAAAGTACATATTTTATAGAGCTTTATAACTAAATATATAATTTACGTCTAAATTATATATTTTATAAAAGCAATTTCTTCATATATTTCATACTAAAAATCACTTTCTGAAGATAGTTTTTTTCAGCTTTCTGCATAAGACCACATTGCTGAAAATCATGCTTGGGTTGAAAAGATCTCTTTTTTTTTTATCTTTAGGTATGATATATTGTTAACTTTTTTTTTATTTAAAACATAAACCTTCTATTGCCTTCAGTTCAGAAACGAGAAGTGCAGTTAATTGAAAATCCTTATCTACTGAAATTATGGTCGTAATTCTTCGCAAGAGACCATTAAATGCATAACTGTAGGATGCAGCAAAATGAATCAAAACGTCTTATTGAACGGAGAACGATAGAGTAAGTTTACCTAAGAATCTATTTCAGGAGAAAGTCGTAGGGGTGCGAAATATTCTGGTGAGTGGTACGTCAATCATAAGAGACCCTCATCTCAAGTTATGGGGTAACTTTCAGAGATACGTTTCTGACACTGAAACCTCAAATGCAGTTGAAAGGTTTAAAAGATAGTAAAGACATTTCACGATGCTTTGTAGAATGCATTGTAGTGTCAATAAAATTTATACTTTATATCGTTTTCGAAATGGGTTTAGTAGAAGTAAGCGCAATAAGGTAAATGTAACTTTTATATAGATGAATTTATAGTAGTAGATGCCTGCACTATCAAATGTATCCTATTTAACACGGCATTTATCCGCTAAGAATAACAGAATGCACAACCATTCCTTGATAAGAGTCATCTGACACAGTTGGACTTCAATGGAGATAGAAACACTTGGAATTAATGAGTTACGTTTTGTGATAAGAGAGAGAGAAATTTAGTCATTTAGAAAGCTGTTTATATCTGAAGCTAACTAAAGTTAACAAATTAAAGGTAACTATTTAGTGCTTTTAGTTAGAATAAGCTTTAACATTAAAAAGAACTGAAAAATAACACAGTTTTCAGTATGTTTAATGTTGGAATGATAGATGTAAATTTTCTTCGGTTTCAGTTGTTTATTATTAGCGATAATCGATAGACAGCTCAAAATTCGATTTTAAACTGTTAATTCATCTTATTTTAAACTGTGCTACGCATTATTGTAATAGGGATACCTGTAATTTTTCCATACCTGTCAAATGAAACGGAAAAGATGAGTAATTTATTTAGTACAATATATCACCTTTCAGCAACCTAACATTATGTATTTTATTAATGTATTTTAAAGAGAGCACATGTAATTACAATAATATAATAATTTCAACAGTATAGTTCCCATTAATTCAGTCCTACGGTTTCAATCTTTAATGACGAGATCTGTGACATGACTTTCAGCGACGAGAT